TTTTGCCAAGATTGGAGTATAGGCTACAACATAGTGTCCTTTTAAGAGAACAGTGCGACAGGTTGCAGAGCCCTCTAGTATAGCTTATAAAGAATAAATCTGACCTGGCCATTATATTAGCCAATGCTATACTAGTGCACAAAAACATAGCAGGGCTAAAAATAATCTGGCAAAATCAAATAACACATCATGTAACAGAGCTTAGGAAACAAATAAATAGCCAAGGTGATTTTAGAGAAGCTGTATGGATCAGAATTCAGCAAGCACAAATAAATTGCAAAAGCCCAAGATGCATTCTAGGCCTGGAACTAGCAAGATTGAGGAAAATACACCTCAAGCAAAACTTAATCTACAAAATCGTGACAGAGGCAAAACAAATGAATTTAAGTTTTAGATTAGAGAAGATGGAAAAAAGCCTTGAACTCACAAAAGAAGGTATTAAGATAGTAAACTTGCTAGAGCCAAAACAGATCAAGAGCTTAATTTAGGAAAAAAAGGCAGGAATTTTTGTATTAGAGCAATTATGTGATAAAACAGGTAGCAAATTGCTCATATGGAAACAAATCAAGCAATATAAACAATACAAAGCTGCTAGCAAAGTGCCCAAATACTTCAGAAGTATCGAGAAGAAGGTTTTAGAAAATGAAGAGAGCTATATAATCAAACCCGACTTCAAAACTAAAGCAATAAATACTCTAAGTCCAAAAATTATATACTCTATTATAGACAATGACAAAAGAAAAAGATAGTAGATATTGCTAAGAAACAGAAAGAATTGGGAAAGTAAATGAAAAGAAGGGGCACAAAACTTTCATAATAGAGTATTGGGAAATGATTATGAGCCCAGATAACAGTACGGTTAGATTTAAGAAGTGCTCAGGTTGCGAACAGAATATAGAGAAAAACACAACACCAGAATCATGCCTTAAAAAGAAGAAGTTAAAAAAACAGAGCAGTTATTATAAACCCAAATCTTGTCCAAAAAGTAGACTTTCAAGCACACATGAGAGAGCTAGTGGTCTCTGTAAGCTGCATATTAGATACACACTTTGGACTAGAGGTGCTCGAAGGCTACAACAATGAGGAGTATAAGGACTTGGCAAAAGAAATTCTTATCTACCCATTAGAAAAAGAGATAATCAATTAAGCTCTCGAAGGTATACAAATTAAAGAGGAGTTAAAACAATTAGCAACGCAGCTGAAGCCACACAGAAAGATATTCTTCTATACAAATGGGTCTTTATCGAACCCTACAGAGAACCCAGAAAGAAGACAAATGAGAATAGAATGGGTGGCTGCTATAGAAAATAAAGCCAAGAAGAGTAAAAACTATATAGCAAAATTTAAGAGAGCTATAAAAGATTGGCCATCATCAACAAAAGCTGAACTGGGTACAATATGGACAGCCTTATTAACTGCACCAAACAAGGCCATAGTGAATATTTATACAGATAGTGCAGTATCAATTCAGGCAATTCAAGCAAGCCAAAACAAAACCAAGCCAAGTGATATAGTTAAAAAAAAAAATCTTTACCTTCTAGAACAAATATCGAGAACAATTGAACTTAAAGAACTAAGGGTGCGATTTAACAAGATCAAAGCACACAGTAGGGTGCAAAGCAATGAAAAGGCCAACAAACTTGCAAAGAAAGAGGTAAATAGTTCTTTGCTTCTAAACCCGAGATGGTCTTGAAACAAACGGTCGATCGCTAAAATAAGATGGCAAGAGATATGTGTAGACGACGCAACTAAAGATTTTGTTATACAGCTTACAGATCTAGTTATTGATATTGAGTGAAAAAATATAAAAAGTATAAACAAATGGGTTGGGACAATTCACAAAGAAAATGAAGTAGACTGGGGAGAGGTTTGGAAAGATATAAGCAAAGTCAAAAGAAGAAAATGTACAAGCTCCCAAGCTCACAAAGATTGGATTTTTAAAATCAAGTGTCTTAATGGTTTACTTTCAACAATGCAAGTTTTGAAACAGAGAAAAAGAAACGTATACATGAATAACACTTGCAAGATCTGCTCCCAAGAATGTGGGACACAAGACCACTTAGCCGAATACACCAAGTTGCAAGTAACATGGGGCAAGCTTGAAGAAGAAGGCTGCTTAGCTATCGTTAACAAAGCAGAAAAAGAAAAAGCAAATCTGAAAACATACAATAAGCAGAAAATAGCAGAATTAGTATTTAGCAAAAGTCTCGATGAAAAAATCTCAACTAGGAAAGAACTAATAAGAGGCATGGTGACCAAGCAGAGAGTCCAAAAGATTAGCTCGTTATTAGAAGAAGTAGCAAAGACTTCCAAAATCCTGCACGCCTTTGTCAATAGTTTCTCGCATTATTTTCGCAAGCTTATCTGAAACTCTCAATATGAAAAAATAATAGAATAAGAGAAGAAAGAAGGCATAACGAAGGAAAAGAAAACAGAAAATACAAGAAAAAAAAAAAGCGAAGAGACAAAGGAGCAAGACAAAGAAAATAAAGACCCAGCGAGCAGTACAAAAGAGAAAGATATCAGAAGAATCAAGGTTAGCTAAAAAGAAGAGAAATTAGATATGGCCAAAGAAAGGGATAGTCTAACCAGGAAATGGGTCTCGTGGGAACCAAACTAGCATGGTCTTCGCTGATGAAGCCAAAATAGTCTTTTTAAACATGCTTGACATGGCAGACAACAGCCAATTGATGACCAAGAGGGGTACCGTGATTGGTACGAAATCTTTAGAAAGTTAAGGATCCTGAGGGAAATAAATTGTTGTTTTGGCAGATCGTACTGGGTAAATCAAAAATTCTAAGCTAAAATCTTAGATAGGTATTTGTAATTACAATTGTGTTATTTTAAATTTTTATCAATACATTTTAATTAAATTATATAGTTTACTTACAATATTTTCTATATTTTTGTACTTTATTATTTACTTTATACTACTATTATAATCAAGTATATGCTCTTGAGCAGCAGATTTAATTGTATAGTGTATATTTAATTAATTTATCGGTTGTTAAAAAAAATTAAAAAATGTATAGCTTTGTAATTTAGAATAAGTTATTAAGTGACATACAGTATATTGAACTATATAGGTAATTACAAGTTACTCTTATTATAATAATACTGGTATGATCAGTTCTATTAAATGTTTTATTAATAAATTCATCATATCAAGAGATTTATGTTGACTAGCTTGCATATTATAACTAGTAAATTAACCAATAGTTATAATTTTAGCATTTATGTGATTAGGGTATATCTATTAGTTTTTTGAAAATTTGGCATGCCCATGCCCCTGTGCCTCAAACCCTAGTCAAGTGAAGCTAACTAAAATTGAAAAACAAAAGCAAAGTGTACAAACTCCAATTAAGAAAAGACTCAACTATATAATTAAGTGTTTGAAAAAAACGAAAGCCACAAAATTTGTACTAATACCAGTGATGCTATATATCTGGAAAAAGAGAACCAAAAAACAAAAGCCACAACTCAAAGAAATAAAAAAAAAACAAAAATTATATAATACATACATATATATATTAGATAATCTGATTGAAGTTAATCAAGAATATCTTGTATATACCATGCATGTTTGGGCTGATCAGATTAGTATATAAATGTAATTACTTGACTTTTTTGAGGTTTGATTGGCTGAGTAGACCAGAGATATATAAGTTATATATCTCTAACCAGAGATGCCTAGAAATTCTCTATTTATATATTAAGCATTTATATATATAAATTAATTTATCAAATAAATTATAATATAATCACCAAAAAAAAATTTTAAGCAAATTTATAAATAGTTAAAATTAGAGTAAAAGTAATAGTTTAAATTAAAATTAGAGTTAAAGTTTTTATATATTATATTATAAAAGATCTAAATAATATATTTAAATCTAAATTATTTTAAAAATAATATATCTGGGGTTGGTTAAACCTAGATGCTACACAAAAATATATAACAAATTCTCAACCTTGATTGGCTAAAAATAACAATCAAAAAATTACTTAGAATTTTACTAATAAAATCGCAGCTACCTATTAAGTGAAAATTGAAACTATAGCAAATCAGTATGGTATAGGTGAGTAGATCAGTATAGTACAGACCAATTTTTAAAATTATACTATACGGATCTGCAAAATTATAGAAATGCTCATATATATATATAATACCTGGTCTATAGTATAGTTTAAAAATTGACCTATACTATACTAATCTGCCCACCCATACTATACTAATCTGCAAAATACTTGTGAAAATTGCTTCTAGGCCAATTTTACTATAATGTGGGTTTTAATTTTGTAATAAGAAAATTAAAAGTTAATTCTAGCCGGAAATTAGTAAACAATTATATAATGTGAGCCAAAATTATGAAAATCCTCGACCGTTAGCCAATCAAAATCGAGGATCTGCTACGCATTTTTTGTGCAATAACACTAATGCTAAACATTTTTACTTAGTTAGCCAGACACTAATTATTAAGATTGTTTTCTAAATGCCGCATATCCGGTGAATTTCACCTCTGGTAACGTTAAAATCGACCAAATTATAAACAAATTTATAGCAATTTTTTAGACAAATTTACCTAAAATTGCTCTACAGTTTTAAGAATAATAAATCTTTTTATAATAAATTTACATTTTTAAAATTTATATATATAGTATATATAAAAGACAATAAAACAAATTTTTTTTTTACTATAAAGATTACCAATTATATAGTGCTTAACATAATCAAGAAAATACTTGATTAAGTCGAATATTATAAATCAAGTCAGTTATACAATATCTATATATACATACAGTATGTATATAACAGATAAGTAATTTGATCAATGGTTATTTGGTATTCGATAAGTGTTTGAGTGTCAAGGTTTTGCTTGATTGTGCCGAGCACTAATTTTAGTAGGTGATGTTAATAGTTTAAATTAATACAGTATATTATATATATATATATATATATATATATATACATATTAATATTTTTTATTTTATACTTTTAAAAAATGTCTATGGCTAAACTAACATCTGGATATGTATGTACGTACGTACAAAATTTTTTAACAAATTTTTTTTTTGAAAGTATTGATTGTGTTTTAAATTAATAAACAAATTTGTTTATAGATTAAAAAATAGCATATTTTCAATACGTAGAATCGTAGTTATAACTTTTTGGTCATATTAAAAAGAATTTTTTACTAGAATTATTTATTTTATTAAAAAGTAAAAATTAAATAATTTACAGTGATAGATTACATCAAGATGAATTAGACCTCTGGTCGATCATCATATGATAATGAAATTTGTTGGTGGTTCTGAGATGGTTTGGCGAAAACTTCGCTTCTAACTAATACTGTAATACAGTACTTAACAACCAAAAATATTAACGTTAATATTTTTGTACGTATATATCGGTAATCGATATATAAAAAAAAAATCTAAAAATAAGCAATTCCTTTTTTAGAAAATATCGACAGATTTAATTTGTGTAATTAATTTTGTAAGCCTTCTTTTTCTTTTTGTATAACGATAACAGCGTCTGATAAGTAATCAAGTCAAGGAAAAGACCCCTAACGGCTATGAAAAACCGGATATACCATACCGCACTAGCGTTAGAAAAATTTGCAAATAGTTAAATAAATTTGTAAAAAGGTACAATAATTCATTATTACGTGTTACAGTAAACAATAATGTTTAATTCTATCAGAAAAGGGTTTTTTTTTTTTTGTTAAGGTTTATTCATTTTTTCAGTTCAGATGATGTAGTTACAACAACAGACAACATCAAGTCACGAGAACTTGATATTATAGATAATAATAGATAATAGAAATGCGTGTTATAAACATGGCTTTTAAGTCTCGCACTCTCTCAAGTATATCAAGTATATCAAGCATAATGATTACTTATCTATTCGTATCTATTTACAAGTATGTATGCATGCAATATAATGTTTTGTTAGTTGCATCAAGATGGATTAATTTCTTTATGCCGTACTACATCGCATGTTTCGTTGCCAGCCCAAAAAGTATTCAAAAAGTTCGAGTAAAATTTAATGTCACCTTACTACTTTGAGACACGTAACTCATAAAATGTAAGGAAAAGGACATTCTCAGAAGGATTTCCGAAAACGTTTCAGTACCCCTATTTTTGATAAGATTTGGGAAATCTATATTTAAGGTTTATTAGAATTCTATCTAGACTAACGAATTGTAATTATTGTAATTAAATTGATTAAATTAATTTTCAAATTACAAATATTGTAATTCTCTTTTTTTGTAATAAAAGCTGGTTTATTAGTTCAATACAAATATATCTTTATTTAAAGGATTCATTTAGTAATTTTCTCAGGCAATTCTTTAAGGATGATCCTTAAGAAAGAATGTATGTTTTATTCGTGATTTAATGAGATTAACACTTTAGTATGACTCACGGGATCTAACTTTGATTTTTTAGACGCGCCACATTGTATAAAAGTTCTTAACAGTTAAGAACGAATAGATGTTATTTTAACGTAATTTTACGTAGTAAATGCTTTCAAGAAGAAGATCACCGGATTGTAATTTAATAAACAAAGTGTCTTGTGAACTCCTCTCTTAAGGGGGGTGTCTGCATCTAGAAGATTCTTACCTAGAAAATAGGTAAATATCCGATCATTGTCTTATATATATTATATATATATAATATATATATATATATATATATATACATAAAAAAGGATAACTAAATGTATATTTTGTTTTTCTGTGGTGATACGTGTAAATTCGGGTTTAAAATGTGGATAACGAATGTAGTGTATAAATTAATGATTATATAATTGAAACTAACTTATAAGGACAACTAAAAAACGGAAATGCGTTTTAAAAAAAAATTAAACTTTTTCCCTTCGACCGCCACATACAGAAAAGTCGATGAACTTTCGGAGCTTAGGACTGCCACGGTGGCTATAAAATGACAATTCAATAGAAATAACATCTCTCAAAACAAATAAAAAAAAAAAAAGAAAAAAAACTTTATAAATTTCATAATCTCCAAAAAAAAAAAAAAAATGTCAGCTAATAAACAGACCAATTCTCGTGATTCAGGAGTCTTTTTTGACCTTGACCTTGATTTTGACATTAACGTCAGCGAAAAATCTAGTACACCTTATAGTAATTATCTGGGACTTTACATCCCGATAAAAAAATCGATCTGTAAGGAAACCGACGACGAAACTTTTTTCACCATTTATCCCTTAGAAGTGGTTTTACCTCCAAAATTTTCACCAGATACAGATATTCCTTTTTCTTTTTATCTTGGCTTAAACTCACAAAAAACAACTAAGCGCGAACATAGGAAATCACAACGTATTACCTCTTTTTATTTTATCGATTTAAATTCATCAAATGATAATGGTCTTCGATCTATGGATAAAACGTTTACACCAAAAGCAGGATGACAAAAATTATCTTACAACAAGAACCATCAAGTATTAAATGAGGTTAGTTCACCTAAATTTTAATCTTTCACTACGTATGAAAAAAATCTTTTTATTAAATAGATTTAAAATCCCTCTTTCAATAGGTTTACTCTACGTTTGTAAATTTCATTTTACTATATACTCATTGTCAACTAGATAAATTATCGTGTTGCGCAAACTAAAATACCCCTTACAAAAAAAAAGGGTTACCGCTATGTCACGAGTTTTATCAATTCAGACACACCATCACGATCGCTCGCTACAAACTAGACAATCATACTATATAGTATATTTGCATTAATAACGCAAAACTATTAAGAATAATGTTTAAGGGTGGCTTAGATATATCTAGTATATAGTGTATATAATATTTATTAACTAATGAATAATGAATATCTTGATAGTCCATATTAAACTATCTTGATAACAAGTCTATTACTTGGTAGCTCTTTCTTACAGTATATAGAGGAAGAGTTCAATAGCAAGTTTTTTACTTGGTAATTCTTATATTGAACGAGAGTTGTATATATGTGGGAAGATAGAATAACTTGGGGAGGTTAATATAACATCACAATGGACAATATTAATAACAGATAACTAATCACGCATAGTACTGTATACGTACTGTACTGTATGTATCTTTTTTATACGTATACGTATATATTAATTAATTAATTAATTATAATTCATTAATTCATTAAAAAAATAATAATTATTAATAAAAAATATATATATCCAAATAAGTGGATTATCACGTGACACGGGTGAATAATCTTAGCCACTAAACTGGTTTAAAGAGTTGCTTTACCAGGAACAAGTTTTCACATGTTGTATTTGTACATTCCCACGTTATTGTTGTTTATGGCTTAGTCATATATGTCTATTTGTTTATGCGAAAGATGGTTGAGAAATAGCAAAGATGAACAATTACGAGTAAGGTTCTAAGGTGTGGCAGAAGTTGTGAGGATGCATGGAGGCAGAGGTGCTGGTGAATTAATTTCACAATTTCATCAACAGTGATGATGATTATTTCTAAATTCCATCAGTAATTGATTATAATTGGTTTCCTTAAAACTTTAGTAAACAATATAAAAAAAAGTCATTATATACGTTAATAATAATCCAATTAAAAATTTGAAAAAACGTTCGCATATAGATGCTGAGAAAAGGGACCAACTTAATTTTCTCGATGATTATCTAATCGAATTTTGATAAAAAAATTTGATTAATCATCGAGAAAATCAATTTTTTTAGTTAATTAAAATTGGTCCCTTTTCTCAGCACCTAGTCCATATATTCTATATGGGGGCCCACAGCGATGTAGTTTTTTTTTTTTTATATAAATCAATCTAATTTTTGCATAAAATTAAATCTTATTTTTGGAGGCCCCAATTTGATTATTGTCGCGGATGATCTGATTGGTTAGGTTAACCAATGGAAGCTTTAGATTTCATGATCATCCGAATTTCACGACAATTATTCAATTAATAGTTTATCCGCTCCATATCTTAAATTCTGGTTAAATTTGCCATGATTTGTTGGCAAGCATAGACCTGTATATAACACGTTTGATTGCTATTCCAACAGGTTTCACTAACGAGGCTAAACACTGAAACATAAAACTTAATTTGCTGCCATCCTGTTAGGCTACTCCATTCCTGTACTCTCACTCCTGCCATAACTTTTGCTCTTTGAATTTATCATTTCAGGTTAGTATAAAAAACAAGCTAGGAACTCCCATTTTACGCGACAGCTATACAAGCCGATCCATATCGAATTCGCGACTAAAGCCGCCCGATTATAGGTACAGAAATATGATCGATGATGTAACTGATTATGCAGCATTCACAGTTGTGATCGATATGTCAAAAAAAGCTGCAACTGACATTTGTCATGATGTTAAATATATGCTGTAATATTGACTTATGTCGTAACTTCAGATAGATAATATTCGGCGATACCAATCACTCGTTATATGAACCTCTCATATGAAAACTAAAAAATGAAGTTAGACTCTAAGTCGGTCTGTTTGAAATTCTTTTAAAATAGTGAATTTATTTATAAAGATAATATAATGAATTTTCTAAATTTTTTCTAATAGAATAAGTCACAACACTAAAATGAGATTGACTTATAAAATTGATCTTTTGTTATATATTAAAGCTTCGATTTGTATATTCTGAAAATACAAGTACATAACAATATGTCACAAGACTAATATTAAATCAGGCGACAAATGTCGGCTATTACGACATGCGCAGTTACAACACTTTTTGACGTAACTATACGTCACTAAATTTCTGCATCTCTACGCCCGAGACTTTATACCGTGTGACTTATAAGCATATTCTCCGTACTACTAACATGACCCTATCTTTAAAAACATTTAATTTGTTAATTACGAATGGAAATTTTTAAAAAATTTTATATTTTTTCGTTTTGGTGTCACTTTTAAAATTATACACGAGAACAAATATATAGAACAATTTTGTATACCTAAAATATATATTTTTTAAATTATACTTTTTATTATCCGGTAGGCTTACTATGTTAGTATATATATACTTGTTGTCAAATAACTATATTTACATTTAATATAGCTTCACTTATATATACTGTATATATCAGATATAAATTATTTGTAATTTTTTTTTTATTTCATAAAAATAATTGAAATAATAATTGAAATAAATTTATTATTTAAAAGGCCTTAATGTTGATAAAGAATTAAATACAATATATTCAAATATAAATTGACATAAATATTAACATAGTTATTGTTACTATCTAAGTAACGAAAAAGAAAATTTAACCATTCTTTGTCATTTTATCATCGCCTTCGATTCTGGTGGCAGCACCCTCTGCTTCCAATCGCTCATTGCCAATAGTTGAGCCAATTTGTTCTTTTACAGTTCCTTTAACCTTGGTGCCGGCACCACCAACATAATCTGCCAATTTGGCTGCTTCTAATTCTTCATTTCCCTTTCTACGTTGTTCAGCACCTGATTTCTCTAAATCGCTATGTCCAATTACGGATCCGATTGTTTCCTTTACGGCACCAGCGGTTGCGTTATAATTGCCAGTGAGTTTTGAGGGTGCTTCTTTACTGGCAGCATCATATTCTGCGTTGCCGCGGATTTGAGCAGCCTGGCCAGAGGATTTTAGGGATTCGTTACCAACTAAGTTTCCAACTAATTTAATTTAGAAAATATAATATGTTGAATTAATATATATTTTATTTAATTATATATATATATTAGCATAAGCAATTTCATATTAAAATTCTAATTACCTGTTTCTTTGGTAGCGCCGGTATAGTAGTTAACATTAGCGTTGACTTTGCTTGGTTGTTGTTCGTCAGACATTTTTGCAAATTATTTGTTTAACGTTTGTTTGATTTGATTTGATTTAATAGATTATTTGTTTGATGATTTTGATGATAAAACTTTGAGCGAAATCAATTCACCTTTATATACTTTCAGAATTATTTGATTTTGAACATACATGTCATGGTGAGGTCATTTAAAATTACGAACGAAAACGTCATTTTTAAGCAATAGACTTTTTTTTTTTGAATTTCATTAATGATGTAACCAATAAAATTTATGTCATTATGATATAATTTTCTGCATGACTTACTTATTTTAGATCATAAATTTGGTCAAATTTTATAGCTGCCAAAATTATACTGTAATTTTTAGCTGAAATTAAAAAATTAATTAAATATTTTACACTAAACAATCCTGTAGCAAAGTTAATTGTTAAAAAACATTGTAATACGTCTTTTTTCTATTATATAATGACTGACACTTTCCCGAATTCAATATTAAATTTTTTAGGTCATCCTTAATATATCATGGCTGAAAATAATTTTAAATCGAAAATGTTCTATCTAATTCTATATAGATTTGTAGAAAGTTCTTATGTACTGTATCTATTAAACTGTAGATTACGTCTATTATTTCTTATGGGTGATTTTGTTAACACTAAAGGAAAACTAGAGGTGATAAATTATAATAAGACTACTTTACGTTTAGATTTCAGCATAACCGAATTATAAACATCACATATTTTTTTGTCATTCCTAGTTAAGGGAAACCAATAAATCGGATTTTTAATCTTCGCCTTGATTCAGCCCTTGAGAATTTCTGTAACATGTGACCAATGTTCTTTATCATTGCGGAATCAATATATTAATGTTTTACAGATCAGTTGGTAGGAATATTAAGCCATATGACTAAATGAAATCGTGAGGAATATACTAGGAACACCACCTTTGAGAGGATTTTTGAGAGAAATGTAATTAAAGTTCACGCTACACAAAAATTTCTATTCCAGATTTTTCAAACAAGGTCACATGCTTGATTGGTTTTATTCTATTTTTAGAGCGTTATATCTTCGGAGAATTAGGATTTTTTCGATATTTTATTAATCTAATGTATATAATAAAAGTTGTGCTGCATATAAATAAGAACCGATACTTTAATTTAATTAAAATTGGTCAGAAAAATGCCAGATGGTGATTTTCCTAGTTCATATACTAATGTTTCGGTCGAAATTCTGAAATGTTTCGGATTTTGTAGGATGATCCGAAATAAAATCCGAGTTTCCGAAATATGTAAAATCCGATATAAGCTGATACTCTGATTTGTGAGATATAGTTTTGCCGCCTGATTTTAATAATAGAATTATAGTCTTTCATCGTGCACTGATATAAAACCATCTTTCATATTACTTAATAATTATAACGATGGAAAATCTTTCTGCAACTCTATAATAATTTTTGAAAATGTGCGTATTATAACTGACATAATTTGGTGTCAAACATGTGGTCCTCAGAGAACAACTCAAGGATGGACAAGTGGATTCTGAGATCATTTTAGTATTTATCGAAATGTTTATTCTTAGAATTTACTTGTATATCATCTAACCATCTAACCAAATTGATAAAAACACATCACCTTATTATCTAATCTATCCTTCTTTTGAATATGATCTAACCTATTAAAAAGAATCCATTGATCACATTCTCATAGTTTGTTAGAAAGGTAAGCTAGAATCTATATATTTATTATCATGTGAATCTTTTATTTATTCTTTATCTATTTGAGAGAAGAGTAAATTGGGCTACAAATATATTCTGGTATTTGATTTCAAAAGGAAAATGAGTACACCGTAAATGATATAACATGTCTAAATTTTGGTGTCAGGTATGTGACTCGTAGAAAAACAGCACAAGTGGAAAATACGATTATTGATGAATTTCAATTTAAGCCACAATTTTAATAGATTAGGCTGGTTTCAATTAATTGTAATATTTGAACAACTTTCTGATCACATTATTTTAGCCTCATTGCATAATTAGAATCACATGTTCACTCACAATTTTAGTCACAAATTCTTTTGTTAAGAACTTTGACAATCTATTATTAATTGTCGGGGATGATGCTGAAATTTTGATTTAATTTATTATGAAATTTTAAAAACCTTTTCGTTAGGGGGTTTTTTTTTAGGGTTAGGGTTAGTGTTGCTAGTAAAAAAGTATATGTGAATTTTAGTAGGTATTATGGATTTAAATGGGGACCCTAAATTTCAGCATCATCCCCAACATTAATTAATAGTCTAATTTAAATGTAATCAGGTTCATTATTTACAATGATTAAATAAACTCTTCAAATAATTCGGATTAATAAACAAAATATTGGATTTTTTTTTTTTCTTGAAACGTTGTGACTTGTTAATCTCACATAATATATACGTACGTACGTACGTACCTGATTTTGGTGATACGTTAGGATTCTTATTCTATCCCGGGATTTTTGGAAAGATTTAAAATTCGGATTAAATATAAAATTTGGCCATTATGGATTTTGGCGGACATTGTCGGAATTCAGACATTTCAAAATTTTAAATGCCGGGCGAAATTAATATCGCCCTTATTTCGAATTCGGATTTGGCGAAATACTGTATTTCGGATTCGCCCGAAACACTACCATATACTGATATACTTTAAGTTTTGTTTGTTACATTATAATTACGTACGTATGCGAACAGACATGAATCTGCAAAATTACATTTTTGATGCTGCAATATAAAAAAATAAATTGATGCATCAAAAATCGTAACTTTTGTATCACTATGAATAAACATTAAATGTCCTCCGTTATGCTCCGGACAATAAAAATGTAAAAAAATTCGGGATTTCAAATTTTTCTTAAAAAATGAATCAAGAAAATTCGCCCGAACTTTGTCGTCTTGGATACAATTGTCAATACGGTATCGGCATTGAAAAAGATGAATATAAAGCATTCATTTATTATTTAAAATCTGCTGATATGGGTTATGCTAAAGGAATATCTAATGTCGGTTGTTGTTATCAAAGTGGAATTGGAGTTGAAAGAGATGAACGTAAAGCATTCATTTATTATATAAAATCTGCTGATATGGGTTATGCTAAAGGAATATATAATGTTGGTTATTGTTATCAAAATGGAATTGGAGTTGAAAAAGATGAACATAAAGCATTCATTTATTATTTAAAATCCGCTGATATGGGTTATGCTAAAGGAACATATAATATCGGTTATTGTTATCAAAATGGAATTGGTGTTGAAAGAGATGAACATAAAGCATTCATTTATTATATAAAATCTGCTGATATGGGTTATGCTAAAGGAACATATAATGTCGGTTATCGTTATCAAAATGGAATTGGAGTTGAAAAAAATGAACATAAAGCATTCATTTATTATCTAAAATCTGCTGAGATGGGTTATGCTAAAGGAATATATAATGTTGGTTATTGTTATGAAGAAGGAATTGGAGTTGAAAAAGATAAATATAAAGCATTCAATTATTATCAAAAATCTGCTGATATGGGATACTTACGAAACAGATAGTGTCGGTTATTGTTACGAAAATAGAATTAGAGTTGAAAAGGATAAAAATGAAGCTACGTAAAACCTGCAAAAATAGGTTATACATAATATACGTTTATATTATCTATTCGGATTTACAACTGTATATATAATATATAATATATAATATTGAGGTATAGTTTAACTACGTAACTGATAGAGATATTACCTGGGTCAGAAAATAATTACCCGGGCTGGTCAGATATTGACCCGGGTTAATGGGTCATATGGAAAATTTTTCATAAAGTTGATGTAGCGACTCTTACGTATTTAGAGCTATTACTTGGATTAATAGTTATGTAAGTTACTTCGAGAGTTTAAAGAGTAGAGTTTATAGATTTTATAATTTTATTTTGTGCTTTTATATTAATGTGTAACAAATACTTGAACCGGAACTTTTCAGATTCTGCATCGAAATTTTCATGAATTTTATACATGTTATCCATGACCCACTTAACCCGGGTTGGGCCCGTGATCCGTCAAGAAGCTGACCCGGTTAAGGGCTCTATAGTTTGACCAATTTTGACCAGTACCAAACCGGAATGGTTAAATTGGTCAGGCCAAGATTGAATCATTGACCAGTCTATACCAACCCTGCAAGTTGTTATGCAGTAATAATATAATACCACATTGATTGCAGAACCAAGTTTAAATTACCATACAAATTGCCGCCTTCAATAGATGTAAAAAGCCACTCAGATGCTTTTTTTCATCACTGGCTGTAGAATCCAAGATCGGATTGCCTATTAGAGTCGTTACCTTCAGTAGGTTTCAAAAACCATTTGGGTGTTTTTTTTTTCATCTTGATTGTATCTATTCCGCATTGATTGTAATGAAATCCAAGATTAAATTACCCATTTCAATTTGCCGCCTTCAGCATTGCTGTAGAATTCAAGATTAAATAGCCAATCCGAATTGCCGCCTTTAGCAAATTTCAAAATTCCTTAAATTCCTTATTTCATCCTTTGCTGTACCTGTGTTGATCGTTATAGAATCCAAGATTAAATTGCCTATTTGAATTTCCACTTTTAACAGGTCCCAGATGCCTTTAATGCTAGTTTTATAGCAGAATTAATATTGCTTTGCCATTTGAGTTATCGCCTTCAAAAAAAAAAACCACAAATGCCTTTTTCCATCCTTGCTGCGCCTATGCCACATTGATTGTAGTAGAGTCTAATATCAAAATTGCCATTTGAATTACAGATTTCGAAAATCACTCAAATGCCTTTTCATCCTTCGCTGTACCTATGACATGTTTATCGAATTGCTACCTTCGACAGATCAGGAATTTTAATTTTGGGCCCAAGTATATATTGGCTACTGTTTGGTCTCAATTTTTATTTTTATTAATTGTTCTTTAAATGTATGTTGCTAAATGTCGGAGAGAGTTGACAGTAATATTTGTAATTAACGCTACACGTGACGATTTTTTGTAACCCACTCACACA